CGAATCAACTGAAAATACATGTAATAGGAGTGGTTCATCACCTGTCCCCGATATCTGGAAAATTCTAATACCTCAACGACAACAAGTAGGAGAAAACAAAGAAAGCTATAAAACTCAAGTGTCAAAGGCGTGTGATTACAATTGATGAAATGATTATGTGGAGGATTTCATCATGAGCTGACATCAGTTAGAGAACCACTGGAAAACCTGGGAGTACTGGACAGCTGTTTCGTCCTAGTTTGGGACTCTTCAGCAGTACGCACCCACCGGGATTCGAACCCAGGACCTTCTGGTTACAAGGCGAGCTCGTAGACCATTGAGCCACTGGGACCCGATCCAATGGTCCTTGAATTCTAACTTCTGTCAATTCACGACATAGGGTACAGCAGGTTGAAGATGTGACAGTAACTCATCTAAGAAGACATTGCGAAATGGTCGCGCTATGTCGTGAATTGACAGAAGTTAGAATTCAAGGACCAATGGATCGGGTCCCAGTGGCTCAATGGTCTACGAGCTCGCCTTGTAACCAGAAGGTCCTGGGTTCGAATCCCGGTGGGTGCGTACTGCTGAAGAGTCCCAAACTAGGACGAAACAGCTGTCCAGTACTCCCAGGTTTTCCAGTGGTTCTCTAACTGATGTCAGCTCATGATGAAATCCTCCATACAATCAAGCAAAATCCCTACCAAACTAATACTTGAAATGATTATGAACAATAAATTTTGTTCGAAACGTCATCCAGTAAATAATACTGTTTCACTGTGTGATATACCTAATAAACAAACTCATATGAAATTACTTACTACCACAGTGCCCAAGTTTTACACATATATTCATATTAGAGATCATTATTCAGCATGGGTGCAAAGAGGAGGCTCTGGTTCACTCAGAAGCACTATAATTGTGAACACCTCATCAATATCTCGGAATATACACATTGGGTCATAGGAGTTAATAAAAAGACAATTGCAGCGAAGAAAATTTTCTTTTCGACGAAGTCATCATCTAGGCTGTACATTCGTGTATCAATATCTGTCACAACATCTCAACTGACTCATCATTCAGAGTCATTTACAAAGTAAACAAAAATCTATCAACTTCTCTGCACTTCTAAAACCCTCGCCATATACATTAAAAAGCCTGATCTATGTGTTCAGAAGAAATTAGTTTAACTTCTACATTTACCATGGAACTAGTTCGGTTTGACTTCGTGGTTTTCCCATTTTTTCTCCTCATTCCCTTCAGTGTTTTTCATTTTCAGTTATAGAAAACTATTATTTCAATTTGTTTCCAGGCTTATCCCGTTCACATATGTCTTCCTTAAGAACTATTTTATATTATTACACAACTATTTTCTAATCCTGTGTAATTTTGTTTGTAAGCCCATTGTAAACTATATTCTTACCTTCAAATTTTCCTATCAAGTTAACAATTATGAATCACCTTTAAACTCTCGTTATTATGTAGAATTAAACAATAATAATAATATTTTAACGTAGAATAACAGATTAGTAGTTATGGGGTGTGAAAATAAATAGTCGTATTTGTGTGACAAACATCGTGCTAAGCTGAAATCGATTACAAAATATTTCGGTGAAATGGGAGACAGTGGGGGTGATTAGTCGTAATCGATTTGTAGAGCGTGGGGTAGGAGAATTGAGAAGTCAGTCCAAGTTTATAAAAAGTGTCAGGCGGATGAGTGGCTAGTACAAAGTGGTATGTATTAAAGAGGCGGAGATAGTAAGACTGCAATGATAATAATAATTGTAGCCATGTAAACTTATGTATATAAATATGATTGAACAGCTGAGTTTTTGAGGACACTATCGCCGAAAAGATACCTATTTGCTGAACTTCTTTTTCTTTTCTCTTCGTTGTATTTCTGCAGCTGGACGGTTTAATTGTGAAGCTTTCATTATCTGTCTAGACAGCGTTTACAGCACTAACTTGAATAATGAAGCAAGCCTTAAGAATTTTACTTGGATAAAATATTTATCCTGAGTTCGGATCCCAGTGGATGCTGAAGAGTCCCAAACTGGGACGAAATCGATGTTCAGTACTCTGAGGTTTCTCCATGATTCTGCAACTGATGTCAACTCATGATCAAGCGTGGCCATTACTGTGACTGATTTTCCCTGTAGATTTCCTTTTGATCATATCCGCTTGTCTTGATATCGATCCTCTCGGTGACCTTGTATTTGACCTTACAGTGTAACCTATTTACAATTGATTGACAGAAATAGTCTATATCCATATTTTTATCATTTGTTAATTCATTTGAGTACCAGGCCTCTAGAAATTCTCTAGAGTTCAAAGTGTATTCTGTGTCTGAGAATCTTAGATTTTCCCAATCAAATTCAAATGTGTAGTTGTCCATATGCATTGATATGTGGGGATGTTTGTTGTGTCGTTCTACTGTTAGTTTGAGATCATGAACACAAAGGTGAAGAGGGCGTTCACTTTCACCACTACAGTGTTTTTTGCACTTCCTACAGTCTATTATTCGACATGTAGTTATAGATCAAATTTATAAATCAATTAAAAATATGTTATATTGTAACAACTGAAAACAAGGGTCAGGCAACAGATCGCTTATTGACAAAATCAACAGATATTTATAGATTTTTATGTACATTATTATTAGCGTTATTGTTAGCAGGGAAGCGTCTTCTGATTGGTTGTTTTCCTACTGAAGGTTATTCTGTCGTCTCTTTGTTGCTGTTTCTTAGACAGTTCGGTGATATATATCTGCGAATCGTATTCGCCGACGCTAAGTCTGCTGTGATTGGTTGTTGAGTTCCTCAATGCTAGGCTTTGTTCTTGTTTTCTCTCCTGACCCCAATTTGGGACGTAGACATTGATGTAGATTGTTGTTGACAATTTTGTCTTGCAGACAGCGCTCACCACAATATGACTTAAAGGTCAGACATGAGGTTAATGGAAAAGGGGAAAGGGATCTATGCAAACAATCAGTCACAATAGAAGTCACCAGAAGAGACAGTTATGTCAATCATGGAGAATTCCAGAAATCTCACTCTATGTTGAAGTAAACCTTGGAGATTTTGTCCAGAAGAACAAATGAAGCTTCATAATTAAACTGTCCAGATCAGAGAAAGCAAAAACATGCATTTGAGCTGCAATGGGGTGGGAGATGGCTGCGAACAAGCCAAAATTGTAATCAACAATTTACCCCAATGTTAAGTCACGAATCGGGGTCATGAGAAAAACACAATAACAAAGCTTAACCTTGAGGAACTCAACAACCAATCACAGCAGACTTAACGTGTGCAAATACGATTCACCGATATATGACCTGACTTTCTAAGAAACGTCCACAAAGAGATGACAGAATAACCTTCAGTAAGAAACCAACCAATCAGAAGACGTTCCATGTCCGCTGATAATAATGTACATAAAAATCTATAAATATCTGTTAATTTTCTCAATAAACTTTCTGTTTCTTGGCCCTTGTCTTCTGTCGTTACAACAAATCTACTCCATTATTACAGCTATTATTCGCTGCCTAATTAATTATTCGAAAATATATTGCCTCATCCAAGTGATAGATGGTGCAATATAACGACCTGATATAGACCTGTGTATCAATTTGTCAACGGTTTTTTACATGCACTTCAGTGGAACTAGGTGACTGTTTCATGTCTCAGTAGGCGGATCAACTTTCGCAATTCTTTGATCTGTAGTCCAACCGATAGCGGCTACTCTGATTTGGTGGTCAGATTTACATGCTATAGTCACCTAATAAGCTAGATTGACTGGAACGAATGTTCCTGCAGGTGCTACTATGCCACAAAGGTTGTTTGGATAGCTGTTAGTCTAAAAGCAGTTTCCATCCTGGTCTAAATTGTTTATAGTATGTTAAGCGTTTGAGAGCAAGGTCGTACCACTGGAAAATAGGGATGTAACAAAACCGGAGCAGCTAGGTAACCTCTCTGTTCTGAGGAGTGTAGCTGAGAAAGGGTAGTAGGCCGACTGCAAGATGTTCGTATGGACATAAATCCAAAAACCATTTCAAACAGGCTGGCCATAAGTATTTGTCACTTGGGCTTTGCAGTTATATTTTCCTTTATTGTTCCCTTGGGTTCCGAGTGGAACATAGGGCTTCAACAGCACACACCCACTTCATCATGTTCACTGCGGTCCTCTTTAACTTGCCTCACGATTGCCCATAATGAATCATCTACTCCTCTCACGATCTACTTCATGTCACCCTCGGACCGACGCCCAGCTCGTTATTTCCTATTCATTCTGCACTTGACGTTGTGCTTGTCGCGAGGTGTCATTCGACGGTCTCCTCAGGTTGAGTCCTGTCTATCTCCATTTTCTTTGTAATGGAATATTTGCGAGCAATAGACTACTGATTGGTTCATTCCCAGAGTTTGTTGTTACTAATTCTTTCTGACCAGCCATTTGATCTTCAAGATAGAGCCAGGGAAGTGGGCAGCTGTTGATAAAAGTGTGCATGTGGCTGTTGGAAATGCTTCCTGTAACGCGCAAGTCATGTTTCTGACGCATACAGAAGAAGTGACTGACTTAAGATTGGTGTTGAAAATCTGAATCTGCTTGTTGTTTATGTTGCTGATTGCAGCAGATTTCCAATCTGATTTCGAAGTGGTGAAGGTGTGTTATGCCTTTTCAACTCTGTTTAGCTTCGACGTCCTTATCTGTTCCGTCGGCATGTAGTTAAAACAATGCTACCTAGATGAATGAAGCAAGCGAAGTCTTCCAAATTTTTTCAGTCAACAATGATTGGTGCTGATTGTTGCTGCTGTTGGTTTTCGCCAGCAAGTCTTGGAGTTTGTGTGACATGAAACATAAATCATTCGCGAAATGGCGATATTTTAGAGTCTCCTTATGGGTTCAACATATGCCTCTCTGTTCTAGCTTCCCACACAGTTTTCGACAGTCAGTTTCATAAATCTCACATTTCATTGTTTTCTTGGTTTAATAGTTTCCCTTTTTTTTCTCTGCCTCGTCTTTTGAAGGTATTCACAAATGGCCGATTACAAATCAAACAGTCGTGATGATGAGGATGACGCTGACGATAATGAGAAAGCACTGAAAGAATTCGATAATTGGCTGTCAAACACTTCATCTACATATTCCACAATTCATCCTGGAAGAAATTACTTAAAAATTGGCACAAATTTAAAATCAGGTCAACGTGGTCTAATTGCTTGTTGTAATATCAATGCTAATCAGTGCACTTACTCTATCCCGTTGAATGATCTACGCTATATTCTCACTCCATTACGTTGCACTTTTCTGCTGAATACATGTCAATGTTTTCTTACTAAACAAAGCCGCAAAATCCAGTTAAATTCATTCGATATTCTTGTCACATTTATCTATCATTGTAAGTATTCAGGTAATATGCAAAGAGATTGTTTCATACAGCATATCTGGTCATCGTATATCAATGTCCTACCGAATAGTTATCCAAATCCTGTATCATATATTCTATCGTCTACTGATTATAATTACAGTAGTATATTCAATGCAACTTGTACAACAACAAACTCTTCGCCTTATTTTCATTCACATGATATCAATATGGCCTTTAGAAATATATTAAAACGTGTAATACGATCATGGCATAATATTAAACCCCTGTTGTGTCAGGATGAATATACAAGGGATACACCGTCGAATGAATTTCTATGGGCATGGTTCACTGTCAATTCTCGGTGTGTTTCATGTCCAATGAAACAAGAGTCGTCAATGGTAAATATTCAACAAATTTTTCAAGCTCTGTTTAAATCTTATTCACAAAATGGAGAGCGTAATTTGAATTTGATTACGGAAAGTATTATTCAGCTGAAAGATGATGCTACTACTACGACTACTAATACTGATGATAATAATAATAATGTGGTCCATACAATTGCTCTAATACCATTTTTTGATTTTTTCAATCATAATCCAAATATTGCTACTAACACTCGGTTGGTTTTATCAAATGATACTAATTCATTGCAATTATATTTAGATCAAGAAATAACTGAAAATGAACAGGTGAATGTTTATATTTTATGTTCAAAGATGGTGTATTATTTACGTGATATTATTGCTAATGACCTGCAGTGGAACCCTTGATAGGTGTGTTATTTGTCCACTTGTAACAACAGAAGACAAGGGCCAGGCAAAATATCGGTTATTAAGGAAATCAACAGATATTTATAGATTTTTATGTACATTATTATTAGCGTTATTGTTAGCAGAGAGGTAACGTCTTCTGATTGGTTGTTTTCCTGCTGAAGGTTATTCTGTCATCTGTTTGTAGTTATTTCTTTGAAGGTCAGACCATATATCTGCGAATCGAATCCGCCCACGCTAACTCTGCTGTGATTGGTTGTTGAATTAGTCTTTGCTCTTGTTTTTTTCTCATGACCAAGATTTGGGAGGTAAACATTGACGTAAATTACTGTCTACCAATTCTGGCTAACAGACAGCTCTCACCACACACTATTTGAGAATGTTTCAGCTGCATTTACCTGCATATCGACATTGAGTGATAGTGTTTCAATTTGAAGAGAGTTAAACTCAGCATCCATCGTGTCAAATACCAAAAGCATTCACTATCTACTAGGCCGTATTAGACCTGTTGATTACATAATGAAAATGATTTAATGTAGTCATTTGCTAAGCTGCTGGTTAATAGAACTCAGGTTTAATTATATATATATATATATATATATATATATATATATATATATATATATAAAATACGTTGCCCCATCCCGAATGCTCCCATTAATTCTAGTCTTATCGAAAAGAAAGAACACGCATTATACTGCTTAGGGTTTTTCTTTTTCCTTCTTTTCAAGGGCAGTATTTTATCCAGTGTCTCGTTTTGCCACATTCAAAACACTTGTCTCTTCTGACGCTCATTCTTAGCGCCACTACTTCCTGCCACAAATCTGCAATTTCTTCTTCCCATTGGTTCATTTTTGACGGCTATTGCGGGTGCCGTTTTGCTCAACGGCTGTCTGGTCACCTTTACTAGCTGACCAATGTCCATGTGTTGTACAGCGTTAACTAATTGTAATTGCTGAGAAATGTGGTCCTGAACGCTCTCGATAAACTAAAAGTTCAATAACTGTAACACTGAATCTTCATCCAGTGTGGGGAGCGTGCGACAAAATAGATTTGGCAGCTTCAGCGCCAGCACTAACGGGTCTCCGTCAGGCCCCATATTTTCTGTACCGGGAGTTCTGTATTGTCAACTGTCTGTCTGTGTGGTTGTGGAACACCACTAACCGCTCAACCAATACCTTCCGGGTTTCTTTACCACATAACCGCTCTGCACTGTCGTACGCTTCATTTGACCGACCTCCCAGCAGCGTCCTCAGAACAACCACATTCGGATACCCACCAACTCAGCGACGGCACTGAAGTTCCATATGTCGCCTTCGAAAACAGCAGGCTATGGGATCTTCATTCTCTGGAGGCAGCGACACCAAATGTAACGGCAGGAGAAAAGAGAGAATGGTAACGCGATGTTTATTTGCAATTTGATATACACATATAGAGAAATTAAGTCTACCATACGTTAAAACCGTCATTTGCACAGGTCTCCCGTGCTGTGCTAATTCTGCCCTTTGTATTGTGTTTCTTTGTTTTCGTGTCTACTATGTTTCGCCGCACCGTAGGTTCATTTCCTTTCTTTGACGTCTTGTCAGTAGCACACACCACATATAAGGGGACAGAAATGAAATATGGGTACGTCGGTGCCTCATTGGTAGTAGAACACTCGCCAACTATGCATCACGTGGTCTAGGGTTCAAACATCAACCGATGCACTCCTCAACCTCTCTTGGCCGGTAATGAGATCGGAAAAGACGGAAGGTTGTACATAAATAATACTAACAACTCGACCCCTTAAATAAAACAGCTCTGCTAACGAAAATTCTAAACCCGAGCTTGAAGCCCTACATGTGTGTGTGTCCAGGAGTGAAGATGTAATCGAAAATCTGAACTGTACTGACCATATTGGAATCATAAATATCTATGTTGAATAATTCCTATTTTTAGGTCATCCGACGACTTTTAGTTCTTCAGAGTTGAGTTTTGTGTTTTTCTGTTTAACTGAGGATACGACTGTTTTGCGAATCTCTTTTTGTGTTTCTGCATTTAACTCTGGTGATCTGAGTGATGATTCCAGGAGACTGAAGAAACCAGTTTTTGAATCATCCTCAGTGTCGTAGTTTAATCCCTCTTGGAGCAGTTGTTCTTCCATTTTCGATAGTGATTGCTTTGATAAGTTGACTACGCAGTCGATTAGTGTATTGTTCAGTTGTTGCTTTGAGAACTTTTCGTCTTTGTTCTCCGTGTCTTCTACTCAACGCTATAATCACCGTGATCAGTGTTGAAAGGTGTTTCTAGCTCTGAGAGTCTTCTCTACTTCTGTCTCCCTTTTGGATATCCATTATTTGTTGATATTTCTTCATCCAATAGTGTCCATCTGTAAGCATTAATTTGACCATTCGTTTTCCACATTTTTCAGCCAATTTCCATCTCATTGAGCAAATTATAGCCAGCTATACCCGCTGTTCCCAGCTGGTCACCTATACAAGTACTAATTGGGCCCAATGTTGCTTAACTTAGGTGATCGGAGAAGAACTGGTCTTCATTTTTTTTAAATCTTCGCTATTAAATCCCCAACATATCTCCACTATTCTATTCTATATTCTTGCAGATAATGTACATATGTACATCGATATTTGTGATATTCTTATGAATATTGTCAGCGGCATCCGCCACAGTTCAACCCTTAGCATCTTTCAGATACATTAAATTCTCATTATGCTCCATCTTTTTTCTCCTTCTAACCTTGAGTGATTTCATCATGGAGTGTAGCGACTTGAAATGCAGTGGCAATTTTTTGCAAAATTCTATCTTGAAATATGAATTGAATTTAGTTCATTTCTCTCTCTCCCTCTCTCTCTCTCTCTCTCTCGTATCTCTGTCTGTCTGTTTTCACCATAGAACTAATTAGCACAGATGTGCAGCAGTTCAAGTCGCCACACCCCTCCAATTAGCACACAAAGCAAGAGAAGAAGGTAAAAAGAAATGGAAAACAGAGACAGCAGACAGATATACGAGGCAAAAAGAATGGTAATATAAAAGAGCAATATAGTCTTATTGGATATTATAAGTCACAAGGAGTGAATGCATCCGTACTAGTCATTGCGAACGATTTTGAGCCATATCAGCAATTGTCTCCAGCCATCAGTGTTTGCCATCCCGAGGACGCCAAACAGGAAGTCTACACCTCTCTACGTGACTGGCTGACTTAAACTGACCGTTGTGGATTTTATTGACTAATAAAGCCATGTTTTGGTTTGACCACAACTAGCTAGCTCTTTTCCAACCTGATCCATCCTATGTCAGCTAACATTGCCCACTGTCGAGGAAGGCGATGGCTAGTCGTGCATGCGTAACACATGTCCTAACCATCTCAATCAATGTAACTTCACAGCTTCGCCGATTGATTTCCATTCTTTACTTAGCACTCGACTGATGCCTAATCTCAGTATTGCCTACCCTACTATGCCACTTCACATGGGAGATTATTATTATTTATTATTGTTTCCTTTAATTCCTACAGGAACATAGGGCTTCACCCATGCGTCTCCACTGAGTTCGGTTCTCTGCTAGAGTCTTCACCTGGATCCAAGTCTGCCCACACGTTTTCATCTCCTCTTCACATGACCTCCTCCAAGTCACCCTCGCACTGACCACCAACTCGCCGCTTCCCTTTCGAGTTCCACTCGAGCAATGGCTTGTCTAGTGATGTCACTTGATGATTTCCTCAGAGTATGGCCAATCCATTTCCATTTCTTCTTACATATTTGTTTCACAATCGGTTCCTTGTTGGTTCGCTCCCAGAGATCCCTCCCTGATGATGATCTTTTCTGGCCATTTGATCTTGAGTATTGAGCGAAGACAACTGTTAATGAAGGTTTATAGTTTGTTTGAGATGCTTTTCATGACACGGCAAGTCTCTGATCCGTATATTAGCACTGACTGACTTCACATTGGAGTTGAAAATACGGATCTTATTTTCATTTTCAAGCTGAGTGCTGTTGACCTCCACATAGACTTGAGAGTAATGAAAGCTTGTCTTGCTTTGATATCCTCGTCAGTTCCGCCTGTAGTTGAAACGATGCTTCCCAGATAGGTAGGTAAAGGAGGTTGCTTCTTTCAGGTTCCTCCCATTTTTGCTGATTGTTGTCTGTTGTTGTTGCTGTTGCCATTGCTGTTGGCCAGTAATCTTCATCACTTCTGTTTTCTCCATGTTTACTTGGAGTCCTATCTTTGATGCTTCTTCTATCGCCAACTTGTTGCTTTTCGCTTGCATATCTTCCAGTTTGTGAGAAATCAGACATATATCATCGGCGAAGTCCAGATCCTCCAGGTTTTTTGTGTGAGTCCATTTTATGCCTGTTTCCTTATTGCCCACTGTTTGTCGCACATGCGAGATAGAACGCGTTTTTGGCGTTTATAGTATTGTTTTCTTCTACGGGGTGGAATTTTTAGTGTCACACACACATACTTTTCTGTCTTCCCGATTTACTACTGCCCAGTTAACAGGGAAAATCGAACCCCTAGATAACATGAGGCTTGGTTAACGAGCATTCTGCCACTGAGCCGTCAGTTTTTACAATTTACTTCATATTCTCACCATAAAATATTGTCTATTTATCTCTGAAATGCATATATCTGACTTTTATAAGCTAAGATTTCAAAAGTGTTGATGATTACAGTGATACGAAGTGTTGATTTACTCTGGAAATGTATTCTAATTTTGTCTTTCTCTCTCTTCCTTCTATTCACTAATTCTATAGGTTTTCATCAATTATGGTCCACATGACAATTTAACGCTATTCACTGAATATGGATTCAGTCTTCCTTATTTGGAAGCGAATGCTACTACTACTGCTAATGATGTCATTTATTTAAGTTCTTGCTTTCTCATAGACTTATTTATTCAGTTATATAATGAAATAAAAGTGACAACATGTCCTCCATCCGTTGCTTCTCCTCGTCCTTCACCTGCAACAACAACAACTGCTGCTGCAGCTACTTCCACTTCTACAACTACCTCCTTCTCTTCAGTGTCCAGCCCTCACTCGTCGTCATCCACTTCCCAGAGAAGTGAATACAAATCAAAAGGTGACCAACAATCGGATATTTTCATTGCGATGCATGAATATTTCTACTTAATTCTTGCTAAATTACACCTGCCTCAGCCGAAAACTTCATCGATTCAAGACGACATTCTATGGAAATCTGTTTACGTATCCAACAGTGTTGATTCGCCTAATTCATCATATTATCTAAGTTTAATATTATTTTTAATGTATACAACATTTATCGTTGATGCTACTAATGACAGTAATATTAGTAAACCGAATCACCGATCTCTTGATGACATCTTTAACATTTCAGAAGATCTGATCTCAACGACTATTCAACCAGTATTGAATAGGATTTATACACTTCTGTTAGACAATATAAACTACGATCGTGAGAAAATTTTACGTCTGCTGAAATCATCTCCAGAAGTCTTAGACACAGAACCTCAGGAAGGAGCAACACCAACAACAGTGACAGCGACTCAGTCGTCTTGTATAGTGAATGATTTTTGTAAGGAATTTTTATACTATCTAGAACAACGTGAATGTTTTGTTCAGGGCTTAATGATGAGTTAATAAACATTTTCAGTATTGATTGCCTTCTGGATAATCTAATAGGCACAACAGTTCAATTTCATACAATGATTCCCTTTTATAAATTTGAACAAAGAGAGAAGAAACATTGGCGCAGAATAATCTGGATCCATTTTATTTCGTTGGATCTCATTAGCTGCGTACAACCTGAATTTTTGTTATTAAAAATAAATAGTGTACAATTTTTTTTAACAAACCTTTGTCCATTAGCAAGCATAGTGTCAGAGCGTCATAGTTAAATAAGGCATTGAGATTTACAGGGTGTCTAAAGTGTCACGACATGTATATATATCTTGGTAGAGAGAAGTTTCCTGAAAAAAAAATTAGTTAACAGTTATGTTGTAACAAAAGACAATTAGCAATAGTTACGTAATTAGATAAGAGAAGATCAAAATTTTTAAAATTACGGTGCACATGAGGTCAGGTGAGAAGTTGATGATGTAATACACTGAGCAGAACTCAGAAGATCAGGAAAAATTATCTCTTAAGGGAGTCAAAGGAAACGTAAAGGGGAGGGGTGGAGTGAAAAGATAAGTTAACAAAATTAGAAGACAAAGAGTTACTAAGATGTCAGTTACCAGGGTAATTGAAGTCCAACGACGGATTCTTTTTGGACACATAAGTCAGGCTTAAGTCGTTTTATTGCTATAGCTTCAGCAAACCTGAGAAGACTCGAGGTACTTTGTCTGTTAATTATTTTGAATGATTCCAGCACATCTACTCGGTGTCCTGTGTCAATCAGGTGTTTGGCGATTGAGGAGCTTAAATAGTTCGGTCCCTTTAACCGGAGGCTCCTTGTTACATGTTCGCAGAATCTGACGTAGGTCCTCCTCTCTGTTCTTCCAATGTAACTGCTCCCGCTGATACATGTGAATTGGTATACAACAGTTTAATCCTCAACAGTGTTTAAGTGATGTATAGAGTTTGTCATTCGGGCAAAAATGGGCGAAATATCGTTAATTACTGTTCATAATGGGAAATATTGCTGAAATAATCGTTAAAATAGGAAAGTAGTACTTCAATACTGGAGAAATAGTTGTAAAATATTGTTTGTTGAGTGGTCAGAATCGGTGGTATCTTGGATAAAATCTAGTTAGATAATGCTCAAAATTGTAAAGCCTATGTCATATAACCAAAATTTGCCGATGTTTTCCTACTATTGGCCATGCCCATTATTCACCCAGTTTTCATTAATTTCATCCGATTCGGTTCCAGAGAAGTTTATTGCATGTCAGTTTCTATTTGTCCAGGATCTTCAAATACAACCAGATTTATCAAGTGCAGGTTTGCAGGAATTTGATTGGTTACAGGGTTGATCATGAGTTGACACCAGTTAGACAATCATTAGACAACGTGGGAGTACTGGAGGGCTGTCTCGTCCTAGTTAGTTGACATTACATGATGGGACACAATGCTATCTGACCTGAAATGCAAACCAGTCTATTTCAATACTTCTTCCATGTCTCTGTCAAGACACACACGACAGTTGGTTGAAAACAAGTTATAAAATGATCAGGAGTACATTCTGAGACCCAAGAACACAGTACAATAACACTTACCTCATATATTGTAATACACTACCATTCACAATTATGCTTTTTCTCAAGTTTAGTAGAAACTAGAAAATCACCATGCACATGGTCCGGGGTTCGATCCCCGGCCGACGCACTCCTTTACCTAGTTAAGCCAGAAATAATGCTGGTAAAGAGGAAAGGTTGGGCATGAGGCTAGCAACCTCATCCTGTAAAAATTAAACACTGCTACAGAAACTTCCAGCCACTAGCTTGAGGCCCTATGTTCCACTGGGAACGTGAAGGAATAAAAAAAGAGAATCATCAGGTTGTCAATACTTAAAATACTCGCGAGAGTAAATAATACCATCAGAAGGTTATAATTTGATAGATTAAACCAAAGTGAGCAAGAGATATTATAAGCAGTGTAATGATGCAGATTTTCGACACCAATTAGATGAGAATGATCGAAAATCAATGAGCACTGGATGTTTGCTTTGCGACTTCACAGCAATGTCCACCAACAATCACATTGGCGATCGAAACTAGGATGCCAATGGCGTTGTATATCAGGAATTGCTAGAAATCATAATATCAGGTGAATAAAAGTTGTACTGGATACAGAACTCCACCCACTCACAGGAACAAGCTGGATTCAGGAAAGGCAAGCCATGTGCTACGGATCAAACTGCAACTCTACGCATCATCATCACAGAACAAAGCAGAGAATGGCAGTCGAACCACACTCACCTCAATTTCATCGATTTTGGAAAGGTCTTTGACAGACAGTGTTGACCGAGAAGTAGTTTGGAAAATACTTCAACTTTACGACGTGCAGTGCCTCAAGTATTCAACAACTAGCTATTTGATAATGCCACGTATCAGGTGATCCACAACAGAAAACTCATTGAGGCGTTCCAAGTGAACACAGGAGTAAGACAGGGCTGTCTATTATCACCGATGATATTCTTAATTGTGGTGGACTGGATTATGCATTAGACCGTGAGTTGGGAACGAGGAGACGGGAGTATGCTGGACTACCGATAAGAAGACTCTAGAATATTTGGATTTCGTAGATGATACATGTCTAATGTCACACAAACTTGAGGACTTACATGCAAAAATCAACAAACTGGTTGAAGAAGCAGCGAAGACAGGCTTCCAGGTGAACATAGAGAACACGGAGGTGGTGGAGATAAGCAACCAACAGCAACAACAACCAGCACCAATCATCATCAACGCGAGAGATTTGGAAGAGGTTGCCCCCTTCACTTATCTAGGAAGAATTGTTTCAACCACAGGCATAACGCATGAAGATATCAAAGTCAGAATCGGAAAGTCAACCTGAAACCCGTTCGAAAGTCTTCTGCACTGCACTCCACCTCAGCATAAAGAACAGGATTCGGATTTTCAGCACCAGTGTCAAGTTGGTCCTTCTACATTGGTCAGAAACTTGCACTGCATGGGCGTCAAGAAAAAGATTTCCAACAGGTTACTGCAGACTGTAATCAATAGCTGCCTTCACTCCATAATGAAGGTCAAATGACCAGAAAGAATAAGTAACAACAACCACTGGTTGAGAAAAAAACCAACCACGAACCGATCGCTCAACAAATATGCTGGAGAAAATGGAGATGGATGGATCGGGCGAACGTGGGGGAGACCGTCGAATCACATCACGCGCAATGCAGGCCATCGCTCGAGTGGAATCCAAATGGGAAGCGACCAGTGGGTCGTCAGTCCTAGGGTGACATGCAGAATATCGTGTGGTGAGGATGAAGAAATGAAAGATTATGGACAATCGTGGACCCAACTGAAGGGGAGAACATAAAATAAAAGAAAGTGGAGATGTGTTGTTGAAGCCCTATGTTCCACTCGGAACTCAAGGGAATAATAATAATCTCAGGAGTTTGGGATTCTAACCTGATGATTCAGTGTTCAGCATGTTCGACCTCTAGTTGGTTAGTGATTTCGTAGTGGTAGAGTCCCAAACTGAGGCTAAAACAAATGTTCAGTACTACCTGGGTGAATAGTGAATAACAGTATGAATAAACAAACAAATGTTCAGTTAGACTTAGTTGATAAAGGCTAAGAAAAATAAATAGTCCGACTAAGTTGTACTTCTAAATCGTCATGGAAGCAAGTAAACTATGTTATAAAGAGGACGTGCTAAGATAAAGAGATGATAAGAAAAGGATTATGGATATAAGTAAGGGGTGGTGGGGACATGATGAGTTGGTTTTGATTTTAATTGTTCGAGGGATGGTAAATGCCGATACGTACTTCTTTTGAAGGCATAGTTTAAACCTGATTGTTCGAATGTCTATCGCCTCAGCTATATGTGGTAGATGAATACAGAGTTCATTGGAACAATTCGATGTGATTCGGTGAATCAGTTTAAATGCTTTCGATTTTTCAATCAAATGACCACTATCATCGACTAAATGTGACAAAACGGAGCTACGGATGGCTTTTGTCTGTTCTTCGCGAAACCATGATAGGAGATGTTCAGTAACATGTTGGCTGAGCTGTGTATTAGTGTGCTCAAGATAACTGCCACTGCAGGAGCAGTCAAATTGATGAATACACATAGACGAGGCGAAAGGATTTAGCTTATCCGTCAATTCGATCCCAATCATTTGTTGGCTAGACAATGATCAAAAGTGGTTTGCTGCGTAAAATATTCTCTAGATGCATTGCATGGTGGCTACTCTCTAGAGAGAGAATCCCTCTTGTTAAGTCCCATTAAATTGTCTCTTCGAATTCTGTGTGTCCACCTAGTGTTCATACAGCTAAGTGAACTGAGGGTCACTCAGTAGTCAAGATCAGATTGCCGGTCAGAAAAGGTCAGCAACAGGGGGGATCTCTGGGAGCGAACCAACTCAGCAGGAACCGACTATGCAACAAATAAGCAGGAAGAAATGGAGGTGGATTGACCATACTCTGAGAAAATCATCAAGTGACATCACAAGACAGGCCCCCAAGTGGAATCCCAACGGGAAGCGGCGAGTTGGTCGTCCAAGAATGACATAGAGGAGGGAGGTCATGTGAAGAGGAGATATAAGCGTGTGGACAGACGTGGAGCCAGGTGAAAACATTGGCAGAGAACCGAACGCAACGGAGACGTGCGGCTGAAGCCTTATGTTCCTGTAGGAACTAAAAGAGATAATAATAATAATTCAAATTTCGTCACGTGACTTAAAAGCAGGAGGCAGTGGACAATTGTTTGGTTGTAGTTGGATATTCTTCAACACCACATCCGCACAAACCTCATCAGTGAACGAACCACGGATCTTCAGGCTACGAGACCAAACACATTGACAATTTAGCCACTTTGACCGAAATCCGATTTTCCGAGAATTCTAACCTTGTCACTTTGTGACATACTGTTAACATCACGCAATGCCTTCCATTAGCACCTTTATTGAAGATTATATTTCTGATGTACTCAGTGGAATTCCATCTTTTGTGAATATATATTTTATCCCATCAGATGAATCTCCACGGTTTCAAAATATTTACAATTACAATTCGCCTACTAACAAATGTTGTTAGTAGTTCCAATGAAATACACTTCAGTTTTTATTTTAAAAT